ATCATTACATCATCAACTTCTACATACAGTGTATCATTATTACATCATCAACTTCTACATACAGTGTATCATTATTAAATCATCAACTTCTACATACAGTGGTATCATTATTACATCATCAACTTCTACATACAGTGTATCATTATTACATCATCAACTTCTACATACAGTGTATCATTATTACATCATCAACTTCTACATACAGTGTATCATTATTACATCATCAACTTCTACATACAGTGTATCATTATTACATCATCAACTTCTACATACAGTGTATCATTATTACATCATCAACTTCTACATACTTACCCTCTGTTGTTGTGCTTTCTGTATAGTAGTAATCTGTTGTGCCACTACAGACAATACTTCTATATCAATACGGTTGAACTCATCAAAACATGCCCAGGCACCAGCACTGGCCAAACCTTTGAAGAATTTCCCCATAGCCATGAAATCCAACTGATCAGAGCAATTGAACACCACTGTCTGGATGGCTAAGGCTTTACCAAGATCCTGGAAGTGAATAGTATGGTTAGAGGAGGAGCACAAAGCTACAGGTCAATCATTAAAACTAATATCCCATAGTTTCTAGCCTAAAATTTATTCACTTTCCTTGGTCAGTCAGATAAATCTACAGTGGATCAATGCTCGGTTTATCTCTATTATTAGCCATACAACATTTTTTAAAGGGCAATACTGACAAGATTCAAAGACAGTAATCATGTTGCCAATATTCAGATGAGGAAATCATTCTCACCTTAGTAGTTTCGGTCTTTCCAGTTCCAGCAGGACCAGCGGGAGCGCCACCAAATTTCAGATGCAAAGCACCAGTCAGTGTTAGATAACATCTGTCAGTTAGCGGCGTGATGACGAGACGTCCTGTGTTACCGAGGTATTCATATCCATATGGAAATTCAGCGTTTACAGCACGGATGTATAGACCATCATCGACCCAATAATACCTGCAGAAAAATGGTATGAAAATATCTGCCTTAAAGTATGTAATACTGTAAAATGACTAATTTTCACTGGGTTTAAATTTTGCAGATTTACCATTTCAGG